AGAAGACTAGTTAGTTAGTAGTTAATTTTGTTACTGGCTATTAAGTGTGTTTGGGAGTTGGGTTTTGGAGGGGAGAGGAAGGTTAATGGGGGTTTATGACCCTCCTTTTCATGTTTGGGAGTTTAAAAAATTGGAGGGGTGGTTTTGGAGAGTTTTTGTAACTCTTCAAAACCCTCCAAATGATTAATTTTTAAGTTCCCCCAATTTGAAGGGTTTTGGAGGATAATTAACAAGATGGTAATTTAAGCTAAATTAGAAACGAATATCAGCTCAATGATTTGAATTCGTCACATCTCAAAGTGATTTTAATTATAATTCCTTCAAAAATCTCTCCTTCCAATTTTATTACTCCCAAATACAAAGGACTTCCTCACCCTCCCTTCCCTTTCCCCTCCAACAACATACCTCCAAAGTCTTCCCCCCCCCTTCCCCTCCCCTTCCCTCCAAACTCCCAAACATACCCTAAGAGTCAGTTAGGTTGCCCGCAACTCTAGGGGTGAAAAACTAAATTAGATGTTTTCACCCCAAAAAACACTCCAACCCAATGTATTTGGAGAGGCTAAAGTGGGTATATGGCATTCAAGGTGGTGGAATATGGCACCCTACTTTCACTCCTTTGCCTTGCTGGAACAAAGAGCCGAAAGAAAAAAAGGAGTGAGGAGATGTGAAGAGATGGTGTGGACTCCAAGAAAAAAAATCTCCTTTTTATTAAAAGATTGATAACACTTTTATTTGTACTTAAATTTTTAAAAAATATATATCAAAATTCTTGAAAATTTTTATCTTTCATATGACACCAATATCACATATATGAAATTAGGAAAAAATATAAAATTTTAACCGTTGGAGATTTTTAGACTCAAATATTTTCTTAAATATATTAAAGTGTCAAAATTAAGATCTCATGATTCAATATTCTTTTTACATCTTTCACTTATCTTTTCAAAAATGGGTCTAAAATAAAAGGAAAAAAAACTAAATTCCAAATTTATTTATTTTTACATCTGAATGTTTGACTTTTTTAAATCTTAATCAATCTAAAAAAATGATTGAAAAAAATTGATATATAATACTTCCTCTGTTTCTATTTGTTTGACACAGATTGACTTGTCAAGATTTAAGGAAAAAATGTTACTGAGGGGTAAATTTTACTGTAGGGTACACTGTTTGAACACTGTTTGGCACTGTTTGAACACTGTTTTGCACTGTTTGAACACTCTTTGACACTGTTTTGGTAAGGATTTATTTACCAAACAACGAAATAAGAAAGTGTAACATTCATTTTGAAACATCCAAAAAATGAAAGTGTGTCAAAGAAACTGAAACGGGGGGAGTAATAAAAATAAGATCTTAATTAAATAAACTTTGCTAGATGAATATATTGATGGTGGTTGGGTTGCAGTAAAATTTGAAATGATTGAGTGAATACGTATAAAATGGTGGAAAATTTGATTTATTGACGGATGCGGGTTGCGGTTAACCTTATAGGTGGAAGGATATTAATAAACTAGTCTGGGAAGGTAGAGGTAGGTTGTTTGACTTTTTAATCTGGACTGGGAAGATTGAGATTAATCATCTCTCTTTGGGATTTGGCTGTAATCGGCTCACCATTAATAAAGCTCTAGCAGTTTTCTTGAATTCTTGTTCTACTTTTCTGTAAATTTCCGAATATCTTGAATAGTTCTATCAGTGGTATCAGAGCACGTTGATCTTTGAATGATCTTTACATGTGCGAAAATGGAAGGAAGATTGAACGAACTCGAGCGACATCATATCAACAAGAAACAACGACAACCAATGCGGCGACCTTAGCTGAGTTACGAACAAGCATCACGAATATAGAGAGGAGGAAACAAAATCGTTCGCAAAGTAGGTGCTTTCATCCTCTTCATCGCATCACACTTCACACCATTATCATTCGCGACATTCAGCGAGTCCTGATAATTCAGAAGGAAATTCCTAGTATTCACCGCCACATCGCAATCGCACACCACATGGAGCATAACAATCATCATCGAACATGAAGGAAAATTGATCTGCCGATGTTCAACGGTGACGATGCCTACGGGGTAATATATACCGTACAACCGGCTGTACCTAGGGCATGGTACAACCAGGTTTCTTTGTAATTAAATACAAGTTTTAGGGTAAAGGTTAGATTAATGCTTGCTGCTGTTTTTCTTTTCCCCAATACTCTTCCGCTGATTTTCCTTCTTTTTTCGCCGATGGCTGCTACCCTACGGGCTATGACTTTACTCCTTTTCCTTTTTCTTTTTGGTTTTTCTCTTTTCTTTTCGTTGCTTTTCAGTTTAGTTTCTTCCTTTTCACTTTTTCGTGGCTTTTCATTTTTCATTTTTTTTGATAATCCAGTGTCGGGGATTACGCTCCCATAATCTGGAGTTTATGAACTACCTTTCAAAGCCTCTAGACAGTTAAATCCGGATCTGATAACAGTCAGCCTCGTCAATACTGACTCCAAAGGACGAATCTAGCAGGACTTACATCACCTTTCAGGCTGCTCCTCCCACCACACGAACTCGTTACCTTCATTACCATTCTCTCCCTTCTCAGCCGCTGAGCAACTCCGTGAAGGTAGGAAGAATCATTGGGAGAAAGATCTCACTCATCTCTCCTTGGTGGGAATTGAACCCAAGAGCTCCCACAAAGGAGAGACTTGGGGGCAGGGGCGGATCTGGCATAGAACCAGGGAGGGCCTAGGCCCACCCTCAAAAAATATTCATTAGTATATATTATATATAAAATATTAATATATAGTCTTTCTCTAGTTACGCTATAATAGTAACGAACGTCTAATATTCAACACAATTCAATTTGATGTGCTGGAAGTGGATCGAGAGTGAAGTGAAACTCAAGGTGTTGAGTTCGAATCCTTTGTTGAGCTACCCTAGGCCTTTTTTTAGCCAAATGTTTTAAATTTTGTTTTTTTCTTTCGAATACTCTGTACCGCACGTAAAAATGGAGGAATTATATCCAATAATACACCCAACCCCCTGATTTTATCTCATTTTACCTTTTTCGTCTGTCAACTACATATTTTCAATTTTTTATTAAAAGTTGTGACACACTCTCTTGTCCCAAACTTACTAGGACGACGGAGGTAGTGTATATTTTTATCTATTTTATTCATTAAGTTTTTGAATACTAGTGTGAAAAATTAATTGGTTCTAGTTATTGAGCTTTTGAATATTAATCTGAAAAATTAATTAGTTCAATTTATTGGATTTTTGAATATTGGACTGAAAAATTAATGAGTTCATTTCATTGGACTTTTGATTATTGGTCTGATAAATTAATTAGGTCAATTCATTGTGCTTTTAAATATTAGCCTGAAGATTAATTAGTTCAATTGATTGGGGTTTTGAATATTAGCCTGAAAAGTTAATAAGTTTAATTCATTGTGCTGGGTTAGTGAAATTTAATTAGTTCATTTTTGTTAGAGAGTATAGACTATAGATTCAAAAGAAAATTGTTTTCCAAAAAAATGATCTGTGGTAATGAACATTTCAGTAACCGAGTCAATTTTGGTTCGGTATCTATGACTTTGAAGATTATTAAATTGTCGGTTCTATAATATATTTTTTCTTTGCCATTTATGTAATTTTGTTTAACTACATTTTGTCATTTTAATTTTTTTTTTTGTAATATACATTATTTAATTAAAATTTGGCCCCACCTCAATGCAAACGTTAGATCCGCCCCTGCTTGGGGGTGGATGGTCATCCATTGGACTACACCCACCTTCCCGTTTTTCATTTTTCATTGTTTTCAGTTTTTGTTGTTTTCTTTTTTTAGTTCTTTCCTTTCTTTATTTTTTCTTTAACATGCTTTAATTTTTATTCATTTATAATGCAAATGTATAATCTAAAATATTGTTAATGTTCAAGTTTGTTTTTCTGTTGTTTCCAATCAAATTTCTAATTTATGTTTTTTAAATTTCTGCATTATAAAACATTTTAGGTATTAATGTTTTGTTCTTCTATTTTTAATTTTAAGATGAATACTTGTTATTTTATTAAATATTTTGTGATAATCACTAACATGAGTTTTTTGTTATACTACAATGAGTATAGTGCAAAATAAATGTGCATGAGTAATAAATATCATAAAAACAACACAATATTTATTTGTAATTCAAGAACAAAATACTACAAATTATTTTTAATTTAAAGTTATTTCATTTTATTAATTACAAATACGAGAGAAAAGTCCATGATACTTAATTGTATGTTTCTATTACTCAATAGAGGAAATGTGATGCTCAATGAAAATGTCTTGATACTCACTCAACTAATAAAAAAAACTTATGATTTGCATACTAATGTTCATTTTATAATTTACGAATGCTCAATCAGTACTCAATTGAACAGTTCTAATATTCAATAGAGGATATTTAATGCTCAATGAAAAATGTCTTGATGCTCAACTAAAAAAGCTTATTGTTTTCATACTAGCGGTGCTTATTTTGAAAGTTGCGTATGCTCATTTGATACTGATATTATGCTCATTTTAAAATGACATATCAATGCATATTTCAAAAGTATCATACTACATTAAATTCGCATATTGAAGTTTATAGAAGTTGATTATAGATATAATTTAATCAGTTTTTATAAAAGATAAAATAAGAAAAAGAAAGTAAAGTACAATATATGACGTTGATATCACAATACTCATTATTCGACTCTTAATACTCAGTAAAATATGTTTGGTGCTCATTAACAGTATATTAATGCTCATCTAACAAAAACCGCGATTTTCACTGAAATTACGAAAATGCCACTGTTTTTTAGTTGCGAGATCAGCTTTCTTGTAATAACATGGTGCTCATTATTAGACTCTTAATACTCATTAAAATTGGATTATTGCTCATTAATAGTACACTAATGCTCAGTTAGCAGAAACCGTAATTTTTACATTATATTACAAAAATGCCACCGGCCGTTACTAGTCATCGTACAGCCGGTTGTACTGTGGACAGACTCTTGCCTACGGTTGGTCAGTAAGAATTGATCGCTATTTTCGGCTCAACCATATAGAGGAAGAAGAGAAGATAAATGTGGTTGTGGTAGCTATGGAGGACAAAGCGCTTAGCTGGTTCCAATGGTGGGAGAATCAGGCGCGTGAGCAGAATTGGGAAACATTGAACGAGGCTTTAACTCGTCGTTTCCAACTTGAACTGGTTCAGATTCCATTGGGCCCTCTATTAGGTCTGAAACAGAAGGGCACTGTGAAGGAGTTCAGAGAATAGTTCGAAATGGCCATTGCTTCACAAGGAGATCCGAGTAGGAAGGTGACAAAGGGAATCTTCTTGAATGGATTGAAGAAAGACAATATAGCTGAATGGATTGAAAAAAAGCTCTATAATGCAAGGGATTTGGCTGAGATCATGGACACAACATTATTGATTGAGAACAAAAACAATGAAATTATGTTCGGGAGACATAAGGAAGAAGGGAAGAGAAATTGGAAGAATAATCTGACAGGGGGACAGAGTTATAACAAATGGAGAGATGGAGGTAGAGGAAGTTTGAGCCAGACATCTACAAATCATTCTGGGAAGAATTCAGTTGATAACAAGAAGGTGGATGAATTGTCCAGCTCTACTCAAAAGAAGATAAGCCACAGATTATCACAGAATGAATTGCGAGAGAGAAGTAGGAAAGGGTTATGTTTTCAATGTGGTGAAAATGTCATATTTGCAGAGAATGAAAAACTTCAAAATGGTGCTTGTAGAACAGTCTCAAGGGGAGGAAGAATCAGAGGATGCCTCTAGCAAATCTGAAGAAGGAGGAGGGATTCATAGGGAATAAAAAAATATACAGTTATCCGTCCTAAGCACAGAAGGAATACCTTCCATTAAAACCTTCAAGGTGAAAGGGAGATTGAAATGGCCAGCAACTGAACAACAGGTGAATATTTTTATTGACAGTGGTGCTACCCACATCTTCATATCCCAGAAACTTGTAGAAAGATGGAAAATACCTTTCAAAGTGTATCGAGGGATATAAAGTACAAATAGGGAATGGAGAATTGATTCCCAACATGGGATGTAAAGTACAAATAGGGAATGAAGAATTGATTCCCAACTGTGGCAGGTGTGAAGGAATGATATTAAATGTGCACGGAAATGAAATTTAGCAAATTTTCTATATTTTGGAGTTGAGTGGGACTGATTTAGTGTTGGGGATGGAGTGGTTTACTGGTCTAGGAGATATGGAAGTTAACGTTCTAAATCAGACCATAAAATGGAGAAAACAGGAGCAAAATCATATTATTAATGGTGATGCTACACATAGTAATATGGAAGTATCTCTGAAGACTATGACTCACATCTTACAACAAACAGGAGATGGATATTTGTTGTATTTTGAAGGTTAAAGTATTGAACAGAAGCAGAACAAGATAAACAATGGGGCGTGGAATGAAATAGTGAAGGAATATCCTGAGGTTTTCAAATCTACCCTGGATCTGCCACTTGTCAGGCCCTGTGATCATGCTATCAATATCATAGATGGAGCCAGCATACCTAACATCAGACTTTACAAGTATTCCTATGACCAAAAGAATGAAATTGAGAATACTATTCAAGAAATGCTCAGTTCTGGAATTATAAAGCATATTAACAGCCCCTATAGCAGTCCAGTATTATTATCTAAGAAGAAAGATGGTGGTGGTTGGAGGTTTTGTAGAGATTATAGAGCTTTGAATAAGATAACCATTCCTGACAGATTCCCTATACAAGTGATTAAAGAACTCTTAGATGAGTTAGGAGGGTCTAAGTTGTTCTCAAAACCGGATTTAAAGTCTGGGTATCACCAGATTGGAATGAAAGAGGAGGATGCACACAAAACTGCCTTCAAGACTCACGAAGAGCATTATGAGTATGTGGTTATGCCTTTCGGATTGACAAATGCACCTTCAACTTTCCAAGCATTGATGAATGAATTCTTGAGACCGTTTTTAAGGAAATTTGCTCTAGTGTTTTTCGATCGCACTGATTTATAGTAAATCAAAAAAAGAACATGTAAAGCACTTAAGAAAGGTACTGCAAGCCTTAAAGGTGAACCAGTTGGTAGTTAACCAGAAAAAGTGCTCCTCGGGCCAGACACAATTGACATATTTGGGCAATATTATTTCAGAAAAGGGAGTATCTGCAAACACTAGCAAGATAGAGGCCATGATCAGTTGGGCAGAACCCAAAGATGTAAAAGGGTTGAGGGGATTTCTTGGTTTAACAGGGTATGACAGAATGTTTATGAAGGGTTACAGCACCCTTAACACAATTACTGAAGAAGGACAATTTTCAATGGGATAGTGAGGCTAGCTTGGCTTTTGCAGAATTAAAACAAGAAATGACATCACTACCAGTCCTAGTCAACCCAGATTTCAATAAAGACCTCATTATTGAAACTGATCCTTCTGGAAAAAGGTTAGGGGTTGTACTAATGCAGGAAGGGAGACCCATTGCATATACTCCCTCCGTCTCTTAAAACTTTGCCATCTTTTCTTTTTGGGATGTCCCAAAAAACTTTGCCACTTTCCCTTTTAATCAATTGTTTTGTGGTTTCTGTTTTTTCTCTCTCCTCTGCACAAATCTCAACCACACATTTTTTACTTTATTATTCTCCGTGCCGTTCAACTTTGGCAAAGTTTTAAGGGACGGAGGTAGTATGTGTAAAGAACTGTCTGTCAAGGATCAGGCTAAGTCTGTTTATGAGAAGGAGTTGATGGCCATAGTATTAGCAGTACAGAAATGGAGACTGTACTTATTAGGGAGGAAGTTTGAGGTACATACTAACCAAAGAAGTCTAAAATACCTAACAGAACAGAAAATTATGGGAGAAGAACAACAGAAATGGATAGCTAAATTGTTAGGCTATAATTTCACTATTAAGTACAAGCCAGGCTTATAAAATAAAGCAGCTGATACTCTGTCCAGAAAATTGCATCTCAATTTACTTTCAGATCCTAAGTGTTATGACACCATTCAGAGGATACTCAATCATCCTGATCAAATGCCTGAGTTTAAATTCAAGAAAGGCTATTGTACTTTAAAGGGAGGTTGATGATACCTAAAGATTCTCCTAGAATCGCTAGGATCCTTTAGGAGTATCATGACTCTGCAACAGGTAGACATTCTGGAAACTTCAGAACCATGGAAATAATATCATCACTATTCTATTGTAAGTAAGAGTTGGAAGTGTAAAACTTAGTTTTATGATATTGTTAACACAATCGACTCAAAAGAATCCTATGCTTTTTGATTTAGTATTACAACAAATTACAGATTAGAAACATGGAATAACATGAAGTGTAATCAACAGTCAAGGCATCGATGTTAATTCTCACAACATCTAAAGCATAACTTTTAATACCCAAAATTGGATATCATGAGTGAATGGTATAAATACCAGGGTATCATACCTCACAAATTGTAAAGATACGGTAGAAAAAAACCTTTCATAAAGTCCAGCTAATTGAGTCGTTTTTAATCTTGATTCCTTTTAATCTTATTGTTGGGCCATGGAATAATTAAGAAAATATACCAAATTTCAACCCATGTCCCGACTAAGAACCATTCGTTCCAGCCCAACACCTTGAACAAGGGGATAGAGTTGAGAGGGTTAAATCACAAGGACAAAGAAGCAATGGTGGTCCGGGTTAGGTCGGGTTTTTTGCTCTACCCGGAAATTACCCGAAACTTCTCGGGTTATGAAAAAATAGGACCGGAAAAAAGTCCGACATATTCAGTCCGAGCCTGGTTTTTTGAGGCTCGGGTTCGGTCCGGGTTCAGGTAGGGTCAATTAAAGCCCAATAAAAAATATCATTGTTTTTATTAAAAAAAGTATTCAAAAAAATGTTCGATGATCAATCAAATCGAGTCAACCTTCTCACTTTCTATTATAGTCAAAGCAAAACTATTTAATCAATAATTCAAAGGCTATAAAGCAATGATATTTCAAGCACAAAAAAAGTATTGATCCAAAACACTCATGAAGAGCCAAACATAAATACTAACAAAATCCCAACAACAAAAATTCAGACTTAAGAGAACAAAGTTCTGACAAAATGATGTTTCTCTTTAAGATGGATTCAAAAACAAAACAAATCGGGAGATCCCAAGTGAGTATTTGGACTTGTTTCCATAGAATATCTTAATTTTTTATAATAAATTATAATGAAATATTCGGGTAGGGTTTTGACCGGGCCGGGCCGGTTTGTAATTTTTAGGGACCAGATTTGGGCCCGGAATTTCGGGTTCGGTCCGGGTTTTTTAACCGGTCCGTCAAAAATAAAAAAAAATGGCTCGGTAACATTTTTCGGCCCGAGCCCGGGTCTGTTTTCGGGTTTTGATTGTTATAACTCTTTTCATTTATTGTCCAATTTATTACCCGAGAAGTTTCGGGTACAAATACTGTTAGGTCCCCTAGATTTTGATGAACAAGTATTGTTTTGATTATGCCACCCCTTTTTTATGTAATATCCCTGTAATAGACTAGCACTTGTATTTGTTCTGCTACTCTTTATTGTAATGTGCTCGAAACTGATAAAGTACTCAAGAAAAACAGAGAGTACTAAAAAGAGAAGAAACATACCATAAAAGACTGAAGAAAAGAAACAAAGAGAAAAATGTACGAAAAGAGTCAACAGAAGTCCTTTTGAATAAACTAATCAGAAAACCTTCAATGTCCTTCTGGTCATACCAGAGAACCTCAACTCTGATGGACATCAGAACTGATCAACTCTGGTGACACCAAAGTAAAGGTCTCTGATATATACCAGAAGACCTTCTGTTATGTTCGTAACAGAAAACCTCAAACAAAGGTGGTTCTCTGTTGACACCAGAACAGAAGACCTCAAAGGTATTCTAGTAAGGTATTCTGTTGAGGTATTCTGATCAGAAGCTCAACATCTGCTATTCTTCTCTTAGCACAGAAACAAGAAGATAGAAGACCCACTTGCAATCAGAATGACAGAATGCATAGAAAATAATGTTACAAGAAATTATGTGACAATATTTCTTATAACATTATTTACTAAAAGCAAGTAATCCTATTTTGAGGAAAACATTGAACAACAATCGGCCTAGATACTGAATTTCTGTAAACTAAAAAGATAAAGATAAATCATCTTATCTTTGCATTGAAATGATGAATCAAGTTGAGTGAAGATAAAATGATCTGTGTCACAAGAAGACAAGAATCAACTATGCTGCCCAGTCAAGTGGAACAAAGCAAGTAGATCAAGCAACGATCAAGATTGGATCACTCAGCCAACGGAGGAGATTCAACAACAAAGTCTATAAATACAGAAGGAGTGCGGGAAGACCAAGTGTGGCACCAGATGGCAACAAACCCTGGTATATTGGAACCTAGTAGAAAAGAAGGGAATCAAGGTTTACAAGAAAACATCCAGCTAGCTGATTCACCTTCACCTCTCTAGCTACCACCCCACTCATCTAATGCTCTTAGAATAGCTTATCATTCATACACATCTATAGAGCTTAGATTAGTTGGTAGATTAGTTTAAGCCCATGTAAACTAGTCTAGTGTATTCATTCTGGTATGTGTGTGATCATCCAGAAGGTGAGGCAAGGACATGAGTAGCTTCTGGCTGGGCAAGGAGGAGGAGGAGGAAGAGGAGGAGGAGGAGGAGGAGAGCTTCCCATTTAGGCAACTAGCTAAATCACTAGATAATAATACGAGTAATATGTAGTAAACATAATACAAAGTAACTATACAGAGCATAACTATACAGAGCAACACTATATATACGTATTACTAGTACTCCGTATAATATACGTAGTATTCCACTTATGATTGTTTGGGAGGGAATTGGGAAGCGTCAGCACACTTTTCATTCTTACCGCTGCAGTGGGGGAAGCACGACGCAGCTGGGCGCATGTTACAAAACATGTAGAGGTTTTACTTAAGATTTGAGTTAGTGGTTAACCGATATTAACATAATTTCAACCATAACCGTACCATTACCGTTTTTTCTTTGTGGTTGGTTAACCGTACCGTGAGTTTTTAAACAATCTGGTATGGTTAACCGTTAAATACATCAGTTTTTCGGTTTTTTAGTTTGGTTAGTCGGTTACGGTATTTTGTGCCCATCCCTAGGTAAAACCCCAAAATAATTTAGAGAAAAGATTTTGCACACCATAAGGCAATTAAGCAAGAGTGAATATCACCTTTGTCGTAAGGGTAACTGCAATTTTTCCCGTCAATAATTAAATCAAATTATCCATCAATTTATATTTATCCACACAATCAATATACTTCCTCTGTTCTTTAATTCTTGCAACATTGTGATTTTTGCACTATTCACAGACCCTACTTTGACCATGATTTTCTACTAATATACATAATCAAATTATTACGTATAAAATGTTATTAAATTCCTATCTATTTGAATTTCCAAAATATCAAATTTTTATAATGTTTACTAATACATAATTAAATATAATTACTGTCAAAATTGTGTGTTGGCAAACGTGAAAGTCAAATTGTTGCAAGAATTAAAGAACATAGGATAGTAGCTTTTTTTGGCAATTTAATCCAGGACCGTCTATATATTCACCCAACAAAGTTTTTTTAATTAAATCCTTACTTTTATTATTTTACATTACTTTTTGCCATTTTTAGCGAATAGATAGTAATTTAAAAATTCAAACATTTTGAGGTAAAAATAAATAAATTCAGAGTTTAATTTTGCTGTTGTTACAATAGACCCAAATTTAAAAAATAACAGAAAGAACTAAAAAGAAGAATTTAACAATAAGATCTTAATTTTAGCACTTGGATATATTCAAGAAAAAATATGGATATGGAAATCTCTAGTAGGTGAATTTCATATTTGGTTAAACTTTATATATACAATATTGATGTCATATTGAAGTTTACAAGAAATGTGAATTTTGATATACTTTTATAAAAATAAAACAAAAAAGCTTTTTGTACACACAAAGTGTACACACTTGTACACCCTATAAAAGGTTTTTAATTTTTACCTTCTTTTCTTTTACCCCTTTTCTTCCACTCGGCCACTCCCTCCCTTCTCGTACATCACCCCCCTTCCCTTCCTTTCTTTCTCTTCTATGCTCAAGCATTGAGGTAATAAGAAAGCACATACGGAAACACAAGTGAGGATGAGAAGGAAGAACACTCGGTTGAAATAAGAGTGGACCGCCACTCCTTGTAGCTGCATCTCCACGGTCAACTGCTGCTCCCACGCCACAATCATCTGATCTGATAACCATACAGCAACATTTCTCATACCTCTCTTCATCCATATCAAGGTAGTAATTCTCTTGAGCTATATATTTAATAAATAATTTGAATTATTCTTAGTATATTGATCTTCCATTGTATATTGTATGTGTAGAGTGTGTTTCACTGGTTTTGATTGAAGATCGAGCATGGTTTTTTTAGGTTAAAAGAAATCAATTTCATACTACCTTCAAAATGTTTGTTAAAATGTCTGAATGAAATTTTCTTTCAATTGAAGTACCAATATGAAATTATGATATATTCAATTGATGTACTAGCCTGAAATGTCTCGATTGAGTTTTCTTGCATTTCCCGTTGCCAAGAATGGAAGACAAATTGACAAAATGGTGATGAACTCACCTCTATGTACATGTTTCATAATAGGGAGGAGCCAAAGCAGTGTACCGTACATCTTCACAAATCAATTGTTATTCCGATTTTTGTAAATTTGTATTTTAGTTTAAATTCAACTTATCAATTATGTATTGCCATATAATCAAATCTGTTCATTATTATGTTTTCATATCATTGATCTAATTTAATTTTATTGAGTTCATATTTTAGCCAAATGGGTTGATATATGATGCAATGCCAGAAACTTCCACAGTGAAGAATGTTCTCATTTGTGAAATCTTGCATGAATATTATATCAAGTATGTCTGAAGCTATCCATAGGTTACTACTCTCAGAGGGGAAGGCTACAAAGGCTCAAAGTATGCCCTTGCTTATGAGGATCTATAAAGATGGTGACTTGATGCTTGTTGGTGATGTTCCTTGTGAAATGTTCCTGTCATCATGCAAGAGGTTGAGAATCATGAAATTAAAGGATCGGAGAAAGAGATTTTGGTGTTGGAAAGTGAAGATCTAGAAGCCAAAAATTGATAGGAAATGAGTGGAAATTGAAGATCTCTTCTGTCTCAGGCTGGGAATTTAAAACCCTGTCTCTGGTGATTATTTTGGCTCACGTGTATTGTATAGTTGTTGAAATTTATGAATTCCTATTTAGATTTCTTGATGTAATTTCATATGCTTTTAGAAGTATGTAATGAAGGTAAAGTGGTTAAAGCATTGCAAGGAACACACAAACAACAATTATTGTTAACACGATTTCTTATGTTTGCTTCTCTTTTATGACATTATGAGAATATAAACAATGTTTTAATCATACACAAATAATATAAACGAAGACATAGACGATGCTTTGAGCACAAACAGAATAAATGAACATACAGACAATTATTATCTACACACAGGCAAAATAAACGAACATACAGACAATATAAACGAAGACATAGAAGATGTTT